TTTCTTCATCAGAGCAGCTCTGTGATTCATTATCTGTTCTAAAAAGCGGCACATGCAGTTCCAGGAAAGGGGGAGCGGAAATGCTGTGTAGCCCAAGTTTGGGCTCCCCTGGCTTTGCCTCTCCTTCCCTTCATCTGGCCACAAGCCAGACTGTTTTTCAGCAGCTGCTCCTGTTTCTAGATGGATACTCCCAAACCCACCCCCTGCTATTATGATGGAATTGGGGGTCTGGTGAGGCACCGGGATTGGGCGACCAGACCAGCTACCACAGCTGTGGCTTGATCTCCAGCGTAGAGTCTCCAGAGATTCTGCACGCCTCAAGGTCAGGAAACCCAACTCTGCTGCATCTTAGCTGGTGGTAGCATTCCCCATCACAGCTCTTCCCTGGGCCCTCAGACTCTTCCCCAGGTAAACAATGAATGTGAGTGTCCTCAGGAGAGGCTGGAGGGAGGACTAGGACCCAGAGAGACCGGAAAGAAAACTGCAGCACTGAAGGAAGTATCTGTGCCACAGGGCAGGGTGATGCTGAGACTAGCTAGAAAGAGCGAGCCACGCAGATGTGGATCAACCCGGAGAAAAACTCAAATGGGATCCAGGAAAGGGATCAAGTATGGAGAGTAACCAAAGGAATTCCTGCTCCTCAGAGACAACGTCAGTGCTTTGAGCCAAGGGAAAAGAATGGTTTTCTTTTACCTTAGAGAAAGCAAGTTTCCAGGAGCTGCCCTGCCCCAAGACTTGAGAGATTGAATGGAGTGAAAAACCAGCAGGTGGGAACACATGACGTTTGGCACATCCCTGAGTTCTAGAAAAACTGAAGGGAGCCTGGCATCTAGTAGAATGACAGGCTGCGGCCCCAATCCTGGCACTAAGAAGGCCCAAATTCATAGGGAGAAAGTAGAGGGTGACCAGGGCTGACTTGGTGCCAAACGGGTACACAGGGGAAGGCTGGGTCTTACCTTCGTTCTTTAAGATAGAGATGTGGCTTATCACACAGGCATGGGGGCTTCTTGTGACCAGGCCCCAGAAAACTTCATTTGATAAAGTAAGTAGATTTATCAAGAAGCACCAGGGGCCTACTTTATGCTAGACCCTTAAGAGAATCACCTGCTGAAGGTGCTCAGTGGCAGAGACAGCGACCAGATCAGCCCTTCCTCCTGCGCATTGGGAAGCTGACAGCCAGGACTCACTCACCTGCCCCTCAGCAGGCAGCATTCAGTGGTGCAAGATGCTGCTGATCCGAGGAGTAGGGGAGAGGGAGAGGCCCTCTTAGGAATGCAGTCCCAGGAGGCTTCTCCCTCCCTGCTTGTAAGATTCCAAATGTCTGAGATAAACCCCAGGATATAGTCCAGCAAAGACGCTTTGGGCTATATTCCTCTGAAAGAGAGCGGGAGAAGGGTTTTATTTTTAAAATCCTTGTTCCTGCTGGGGGAGGGGTGGGTGGCAGGCATTGGGAAAAACTGTTTGGATCAGGAAGGAGGCATTCTACTAGATGCGGGTATCCTTTTAGACTTTCTGCTCTCACACATTCTCTTCTCTATACACTCAGAAATTGTTAGGAAAGAACTCCAAGGACATGAGTTAAGATCACAATGGTTCCTAACATCAATTCTGCTTCCACTGTATTTTTCTTCCCAAGGCTTTCCACTGGGTAGAATTTTAAATGTGAATAATGGTTCAAAGGCTGAGAAACAAACTGCTCATTACTGGAAAGAGTGCCAGGAATCCTGGGAAGCAGACCTCACTCCCACCGGAGTTCTGCACCTAATAGTAATGGATCCTTTCATAGTCATGGGAGGGTGGGATCACTGTTTCTTTTCATTCTCGTCTTCTTTCAGTAACTGCTGGGATAAAAGCAAGCCTACAAGAATAAAAAATTCACAAACAGGACAAGAATATTTAGGGCAAGAGATCAGAAGTTCTTTGGTTATTCAGTGAACTGAACTAACTCTACTTTTTAAAAAAGTGTAAGGAAATAAATGTCCATCAAACTCCATGTCGCAGTGGGTATTAGCCTTTCAACCCTATCTCACAGGCTCTGAGTTGTCGTGCCTAGCAAGTTGAGGTAAGAGACTGAGACTAATCCAGTGATAAAACGGAGCAGTTTTGTCATTAATTCCGTTCCCAATATTTACTATATCTTTAGTCTGAGAAGAATTCTACCAATGTTGCTAAATAGCCCATTCCTTTCCACTTCTCATCACCAAATCCAATCAGTGAAGAACTATAGGGTTAGGAGGGTTCTTCTAACTCTAGTAAGTGCCTTCCAGAAAATCCAGTCACCTGAAGGGGCAGTTCAAGCTTTCCATCATTAGTTCCTTTCCCCAAATACAATCAATGATTTCTGAGAGGGAAGATAGGTTTAAAGTGACATGGTTAAGAAGCATTATACTAAAGCTTATCACCTTTATTCATTATCAATGTGATCTTCTTGGAGTATTCATCAAAAGGCACTTTAAATGGACACCTGGGTGGCTCAGTCAGTTGGGTCTCTGCCTTCAGCTTGGGTCATGATCCTAGAGTCCTGGGATCAAGCCCTGTATTGGGCTACCTGCTTGGCCGGTAGTCTGTTTCCCCATCTCCCTCTGCCCCTTCCCCTGCTTGTGCTCTAACAAATAAATACTTTTTTTTTTTAAAGCACTTTAAACAACTAGTTTTTACATGGCACTCAAAAAAATTTTTTTTCCTAGACCACGGCTAAGGTTAATTTGATCAAGAGAAGAGGTCCCTCCCAGAGTGGTCAAGTGGTTAGATACTACAGCTGTAGCTTCATTTCTAGTCACAGTGAATCTGATTTAGATGTGTGTGATATCCCTAACCTGGCACTAGGAAGGCTCTTTTCCAGGACCTATCAATTAACATGGCTTAAGAAACATTCTATGCCCAAGCAATTCAGCTAAAAATAACTCTATGGGCTATTTTTTTTTTCTTTACTCATCCCACAGAAAGCATTTGTTTGTCAACAAGATCTTTGCTCCATGAGTGTTTTCACTCCTGCTTACTCCTCCCTGAAAATAGAGTTGATACGATCAGGAAAGTCAGAGTCGGTGTGAGACGTACAGAACAAAACCATGCCGATGCAACTAGACTTTCTAACTGCCAAGTGTTCAGAGAATAAAAGAACCCAGCATTCATAGATAGGCTAAGTTTAGATTCTCCCCTACTCGCCTTTCTTACAAATATACACAATTCTTTGACAGTAATATATCTGATTTATACACAAAATTCACTTCTAAGTTAATAATGGTAACTGAATGCTGCTATGTTCACTTTTCTAAGGAATTTCAGGGGCATTAACTCATTAATTTTCACAGCCCTTTGAGGTAGATCCAATTATCTCAATTTCACATTTGGGAAAACTGAGGCAGAGAAAAAGGAAGTAATCTGGAATTCGTCAGCTAATAAGTAGCAGAGCCAAGATACAAATCCAGGAAGTCTGGCTCCAGAGCCCATGCTCTAACCATTACACTACATTGCTTCTGCAACAATCCCACAACAAAAACAATGCTGTTTTCAGATTTCCTACAAAGCTACGTCTCCCTATCAAATATGTCCATTTACATTCTCTAAATCAAACAGACACATGCTCCTCTGGTTGATCTTAACGTGACAACATCAATAGGAACTTTAGTCTTATCCAAAATATATTAACTCTCTTAAACACACCAAATGTTACCTCCTTTCAAGTATAAAAATGCACTGAGATAGCTGCTCAAGCATAATTACTTTCTAGCAACAGGAAATGTTTGCAAAATTCAGGCCCTGGACCCCCTCCTTCAGTTTAGAGTCAGCACTCAAATGGATCTCTTGTGGCTACAACAGAACTCAAGTAGCTAATCTCTGAAAGAAAAACACGTCAATTTTAATAAGACTGATTAGACAAAGTTTAATTCTAAGAATATACTATTAAGGTGATAGAGCATAAAGCAGAAAGTTTCTTATACTTAATGAATCACTAATAGATTTGTCAAAAAGTCAAAGCACTGGCCTAATCAGCTATGACAGAAGTCCACATAATCAAGACTTTAGGAACACCAAATCACCATTCATTTGCTCCTTCTCTAAGGAAGGTCATAACCCTTACTTAAAGCTTTGTCCAACCTCAATTTGTCCCATCTCTTAAACACCCTGTTTATTTATAAGCTGTTATAAACCAATACCAGCATTTAAAGTACTAGCAACAATATTTTAAGATATCCTTCTAATTGATTTGCTTTTGAAATAGATTAATGAATACCTTTCAAACACTGAATATTTGCCTTAGACAAAAAGCACTCTTAAATGCAGTGATTATAGTAAAATCGACGGATGATTTGGCTGTCATTACCTAAGTGTTTACCAAGACCCAAACACCAGGAGCAAACCAGGAAGTTTTGCTAAGTTGAGTTTGCCTAGCCCTCCTTCCTTATCTAATTTGACACAAGCAATTTCCTTTCACTGATGCATTTACTTTCTACAGATAAAACAATAAAAGAGAAAAAAACATTGAAAATTCCATCCTGACATCCACTGGACTGCAGGGTGGATCTGGCCAACTAGGCAAGTCAGCCTCATCAGCTTCCTTCATGTGTTAGTTTATTTCAGTAACAAAACTGAAAGATAACCCGTTATATAGTTTAACAGGATACTAAAAGGTAGTTGTTATGAAAACATTTTTGCATATGGGAAGGGCTTCAAAAGTTGGCACTAAATTTATTTAATAACAGACACCATTATATTGGCCTGTAGAAAATCAAATTGGGCTAAACTGACTTAAGAAAAGCAGTTGCAGTGACAGGTTTCAAGAAACTGGCCGGCCACTGATACTAGTATCTAATAGCTATTCTCCCATCCAGGGGAGAAACCGTAAAGGGGTCTCTCTTGGTACTTAGTGAAGTCAGCAAACAATGTCCCCAGTCTGTGCATGACTGATATTGAGAACTACACTTTTCCAGGCGGGAGCATAGTTCCCCTCCTCCCACTTCTCTCCCAACCCAGACAGGTGATTACAGACAAGGAGGCAATTAAGTTGCTTCAAAATATTTAATACGTGTTAAACACGTAAAGTTACATTTTTATACAAAAATCAATACAACGAAGGAGAAAATACTGTACAAAAACGTTGTCAGCAACCCCAACCTTTATACAACAAAGACTGGAGTCACCGTATCTACAAAACCATAACGTCTTTCCACTTAGGGCTTCTGTCTGTAAACTTTTGTTTCATTAAACACTTTTTAAAAGCACTGTGTAGTAGTTCTGATCTAGAGCTTTTAAAAATATATCTATTCTCTATAAACTCCATATTTCCAAGCTTGAACTCTTCTGTGAAGTTCATCAAGCTTTTTTTTTTTTTTTTTTTTTTCCCTGTGGGGAAGACAAGGGCCGCTCATATTCCCTTTTCCCCGAGTAATCACAGGGTATAAACGTTTTTCAGTGAGATGGGAGGGGAGGGGAGAGAAAGAATCCAAGTCTCTACCCCAGACTAAATCCCTCGTTTTAGGAAATCCTGTGAGGAAATGCCACTCCTGGCACCGGTGCGGTGCTAGCTTTCATGTGAGGGGTGTGTGTAAAGTCCCTTCCTCCCCCGAGTACGAAAGGGGAACTCCCCAGCGCCGGCGCTTTCAGCCGCTTCCTTCTCGGTGCTGCCGGCAGAGGAAAGTCCCTGTCTGCCCCCAATCTCCTAAGCCCTGGGAAAGGGGTGATGCATTCCAGAAGGACGAAATAGTCTTAACTCAACGAGACGAACAGACGTACACAAACATAACACTACACAAAAGTGAACGATCGTCCGCTGGCGACAAGCCTCACACGCCCAAGTCTCCAGGGGAGACCGCAGGCAGGCTTGGCGCCGCGGGGCCGGGCCCAAGGGTAGTCCGTGCTGCCCGGCAGCACCCGCGGTCTCCGCCCCGCGCCCAGCGCCTCCTGTCCCTGGGCCGTCCTCGCAGCCTCACGTCGGGGCCACCCCGCTGCTCAACCTCCTTCCGACGGGGGGCCCGGGGGCTCAGAAGGCCACGATGGCTGTGCTCCAAGGGTTAATGTCTCTCAGCACTGGCTTATCGCAGCAGATCTGCCCGGGCTCGGCGGCTTCCGGACCGCTCTCCTCTCCTTCAGCTTCCTCCCGGCCGCCCCCGGGGCTTTTCCGCAAGAGTCCCGAGAAGCTGGAACCGAAGATGCTAATGAGGTTAGCCACGTTACCGGTCTCCATCTCCTCCTCCTCCTCCTCCGCCGCGGCCGCCGCCCCGCCCGGCTGCTCCTCCGAGTTCCGGCGCGGCTTCTTCCTCGGGCTGGAACCGGGCGCCGGGCAGTCCCCGGGGCCGCCACCCACGCCCGCCGCGCCGCGCTTCCGGGGGCCGACGGCGGGCGGTGCTGGGGGCTCGTCCTCGGCGGGCCGCGGCGCGCAGCAGCAGTCAAGTCGGGGGCACGCGCCCAGCGGCCCTGGCCGCTCCTCCGTTCCCGGGAGACAGCCGCAGGGACGGCGCGCCCCACGAGGCCCCTCGGGGAAGCCGTCCGAGCCTCCGGCGGGGCCCCCGGCTCCTCCCTCCGCCGCCTCGCGCGGTCCCTCCACGCAGCGCCAGGCAGCTTCCGCCGCCTCCGCGCCTCCGCCCCGAGGAGTGTCCCCGGCGCCCGTCACCGGGGCCGCGGGCTCGGCGGGGCCAGCGAGGCGCTCCGGCTGCGGCTCGGCGTCGGGCCAGGAGGCAAGGGCGGCCGGCGGGGGCGGCTCCCCCCAGCCCGCGGGCGGCCCGGCCGCCGGTTCCCCGGGCTGCGGCGGCGACACCGCCGGGCTCCCCGCGGGACGGGCCAGGTAGAGGCCCGGGCACGGGTCACTCAGGTAGACCTGGCGGGCGCTGCGCAGCACCAGCGAGACCAGCAGGTTCTTGTGCAGCTTGATGCCGCCGCGCTGGACCCGCGAGTTGTAGATCTTGCCCAGGGAGATGCTGACGATGCGGTGAGCCTCCAGCTTGAACTCCATCCTGCCTCCCCCTCGCGGGGCCGGCGCCGAGGTGAGGTGTGAGTCCCCGGCTCACGTTCGGAAGCTGAGAGGGAACGAGATGGCGTCGACAAGTCCGGTCCGGGGCTGGACCCTGGATACCCGAAGGCTGAAAAGAAACGACTCCGGTGACGCGCTCAGCGACCTCCCCGCGTCCTAGCCACCACAGACAACAGCTCAGTCCCACGTCCGGTCGCTAACTGAGGGCAGCCCGGCCTCCCGGCGCCTTATATATGCCCCTCGACCGCCAATCGCGACGGGCCGCCAACCGTTCCGGGGCCGAACGGCGCGCCCTCGTGCGCCAAGCGCGGCCAATCGGAGGCCGAGGAGGGGCGCCTGGGCCATTCGAACGTTAGTCCCGCGGAGCAGGCTCTTAAAGGGGGCGACGACGAGCGGCGCTGGCCGGACGCGTCCGGGCTTGTGCTCTGCGGGCGGGTGACGGGGCGGAGGCTGACGGGGCGGTGGTGGAGCTAGAAGGGGGTGTGTAGTTAAGGATTCTAATGGCTTGTGGGCTGGCTAGCCAGAACCAGAGGGAACTAACCCGCTCGAACTTTCATCTGAGTATACCCTGGGTAATAAATAGTATTACCACAAGGTATTTAGCAGAGTGCCTTGCCTTCCTGGAGTCACACACACAGGCTTAGCATCGGTCGACTCTGACCCCCCAAGAAAGAAAAAGGGGGTTCTAAAAGATCCTAAGTTTTTGGCTGTTTATTAAGGAATTGTGACTAGCTACGAAATTACTGGTTCTCTACTAAAGCCATCATCCATCACCCTGTTCTCAAACACACTTATCCCATCGGTTACAATGAAAGGCGGTACAAGTTCTCCTCAGAGATTTCTCCTCAACACAAGGGCTGATCCGTTCACCCTTGGAAGAATCTACCAAGTTCTAAAAATACAAATAGAGAAGTCCTGTGTTCCCATCATGATGTCATACTTTTATTTTGTGTCAAAGTAAAAATACAGGGGAAGACTATTCCAGACTTTTCTGGTCAGTCAACAACTTAGTCCATCTAGGGAGCCTTAGTACCTGGCGTTAGGGAAGAATCACCACAGGGGGTGTCCAGAGTCCTGGCCTAGGTTCCTGGACAGTCAGTCTGAGTTCGTGCGCCTAAGCTCCAGCACAGACCTGCCAATGATTCTGGGTAAAGAACTGCAGGGCACCTTAGTATCTCCAACTCTAAAAGGGAGAAATCACATACACATCCACTCTATTATGCAGAAGATAAATGACAACTCTCACCACCCACAGATAAATGGATAATACATACACATAATGGAATATTACTCAGCTATAAAAAAGAATGAAATCTTGCCATTTGCAATGACATGGATGGAGCTAGAGAGTGTAATGCTAAGTGATATAAGTTAGAGAAAGACAGATACCAGATGATTTCACTCATACGTGGAATTTAAGAAACGCAACAAACAAGCAAAGGAAAAACAGAGACAAACCAAGAAACAGACTCTTAACTGTAGAGAACAAACTGATGATTAGCAGAGTGGGGGGAATGTGTGAAATAGGTGATGGGGATTGAGGAGGGCACCTATGACTCCTGGGTGGCTCAGTCAGTTAAGGGTCTGTCTTTGGCTCAGGTCATTATCATTATTATGTTCTCAAGGTCCTGGGATTGAGCCCACATCATGAGGCTCCCCGCTCACTGAGGAGTCTGCTTCTCCCTCTGCCCCTCCCGACTCCTGCTCTCTCTCTCACTCTCAAATAAATAAATAAAATCTTAAAAAAAAAATGGAGGGCATTTGTTGTGAGGAGCACTGGGTGATACAGGGAGGTGTTGAATCCCTATATTGTACACCTGAAACTAATATAATACTGTATGTTAACTATACTGGAATTAAAATTTTAAAAAGTGACAACTCTCAGCCACAATCTGAATCATAAACTTAAGCATAACTTTCTTAGACTCTACATGGGATAGCTGGCCTGATCCTATACCAGGGTTTGGCCAAGTGGGATATTTGGTTAGGAGAAATAGTGAAAAGTGGGCTTGGTAATGGCCAATTCAAGTCAAGAGGTCTCCAAAGGATGTGATGGCTCAGTAACATAACTTACGCCACAACTTATTAATGGTAATTGAGACACCAGGCCATGAGACCCAGGTTCCTCCCCTCTAGGAATTTTCAGCTTGCATAAAGGAGATAAAATAGTAACATGAATAATTACAGAAGCAAGACACATACTTTGAGTAATAACTTGAAAATTATTTCTTCTATTTTCTCTTTCTTTGAGAGTTATTAGTCACTATAAAACACTGATTAAGAATGCAGGCTTTGAAGGGAAGCTTCCTGAGTTGGAATTCTAGCTCCACTTTTTCTTGTTGTGTGAACTTTGGAAAGTTATTTTAATTCTCTGTGCCTTCATCTTTTCTCTCTCTCTCTCTCTTTTTTTTAAAGACTTTTAAAAAAAATTTATTTGACAGAGAGAGAGATCACAAGTAGGCAGAGAGGCAGGCAGAGAGAGAGGGGGAAGCAGGCTTTCCGCCAAGCAGAGAGCCCGATCTCAGGACCCTGATATCATGACCCGAGCTGAAGGCAGAGGCTTAACCCACTGAGTCACCCAGGGACCCCCATCTTTTCTATCTTAAAACAGAGATGATAGTCCCCACCTCTTGGAGTTTTGGGGAGGATAAAACAAGGTAACACATGTGAAACTCTTAGAATAGCCTGGCACATAAGAAGCTATCACTGTATGTTAATTAGAAAATATCACCCCACACAAGACCCAGGGGTGGGAGAAGAGGATGAGGAGAGAAGAAACAGATAAGAGAAAGAAGCTATGCTTGAAGAGGGTGTTGAAAAACGCTGAGGTAGGATCCACAAGTTCTGAGTGGCAGAAGCAACAAAGTTTGATATAGGGAACATATCATTTGGCAGATGTGACAGACATCTAGAGTAAGTGGAAAACGCTAGAAACAGGGGCTGGAGCTATATGACAGTGGGTCATGAACGTCTCAATGAGGACATGGAGCCACAGGGAACTACCTAAGGTTGTTGAGTAAGAGAACCACAGAATAGATTCTAGAACAGTCAGTACACTTAATTTACAACTGAACTATAAAGAGGATCACTCAATTATAAAACTCTTGTGAAAGTCTAGGCAAAGGGTCGTGAAGGCCTGAACTAAGAGGAGGTAAGAACTAAAAAACAAAAAACAAACAAAAAAGAAACATAAGGAACCACAGTGATGATCTGGGATGTCACCACCCACTCAAACAGGGAACTGAAAGAGTAAGTAGTTGGTAAAGCTGCCCCGCATGAGCTGGGAGTCTCACCCCTGCCCCTGCATTCATGGTCCCTCAGCACTGCTCTCCTCTGCACCTGTCATGTTCAGGGCCGCTCTCAAATTGTGCGGTCACTGAAGGAGTCCATCTCATGTTTGTAGCCAGAAGATAGTGAGAATATTTAACAAATGTATGACGCAGGTAGTAACCACCAGAACAGAATCCTGGAGGCCCTTATGGCACCAGGGTTTATGGCAGATCCCTGCACGAGGGGCCGAGTGGCCAGGAAAGGGTACACTCAGGGGCCTGGGCCAGACATTCTGCCAACCAGCATGGAACCATTACAATGTTTTAACAACTGGGGAGGCGATTATGCACTTGGCTTAATGAATTTCTAATCATGATGTTGTCTATCAGGTACTGTGCTAGTCACTTTCCAGCCATTATTTATCGTCCTTATAAAGTTCTGAAAGTAAGTCATGAAACTAGGACTCTGAAAGGCCCAGTAATTTCCCCCAAGTCACGCAGCTATAGGTGGAGAGGATAGGATTGAACTCCAAACCCATGGGCTTCTAAAGCTTGAGCGCAGAGTTCCGGGACCAGGTTACCTTGTTTCACCACTTACTTGCTGTGTGACTTTTGGAAAGTTATTTCAAGTCTAAGTGGAATGAGAAAGTCATGCCCAAGTTATTCAACCTTTCTGTGCCTCAGTGGCCTATTGTGTAAAGTGGAAATAACAATGCTAGGACACCTGGGTGGCTCAGTCAGTTAAGCGTCTGCTCTCAGCTCAGGTCATGATCCCAGGGTCCTGGGATTGAATCCCACATCAGGCTCCTTGCTCATCGGGGAGCTTGCTTCTCCCTCTGCCTGCAGCTCCCTCTGCTTGTGCTTTCTCTCTCTGATAAATAAACAAACAAATAAATAAAATCAATCTTAAAAAAAAGAAAAAGGAAGTAACAATACCTAACAGCTCCCAGCACCATATAAGCACTTACTGAGTCTATTTTTTCCTGATATTTTTCTTATTATACCAGTGCCCATAGTTAGCGCTTGTTGAATTGTACATGGTTTTTCTACAATACCACAGAGTAGGTGCTGGGGAAGTGCCCACTGACTTGAAATTGAGCAAGGTCACTATTATCATCAGGACTTCGAATCCTGAAACAACAGAATGGAACCTTGAGAACTGATCCGCTATGCTCATCAAGCTTTACCTCCCCCTACTAAAAGACAGATCTAGAACATTTCCTGAGCTTTAGAAAGCAGGTAACTGAGTTTGAATTTGCCGTTATCAATTGTTGAGACTTTTTCAGTTAAAAAAAAAAAATAAGTGGTAGCAGTACAAGAAGGACCCAGGAAGCAACTGCTCTGGAAGAAGTGGCCAGGGTGTGTCCACGAGTCAGGTCCACCCTTCCACCCCCATCCTCTCCCCTGGACACACACGAGCAGGTTAGCACGCAGAGAGTCAGCTACACCTGTTCCCACTCAGGTGCTCCTGGGCTCTGGCTAGAGGATTCCTGTAAGAGCAGGGACTCCGTGCCCTCAGCTGTTGACTTCATTTCTTGTTGTTCTTCATTTCTTGCACGATAGCTTGAAGACTAAGGATTATTATCAGATGATTACAGAGCTTACATTGCCTTAAATTAAGTCTGTAGAAGAACAAGGCAAACACAACACAGATGATATACTCCATAGCCCACTCTATAAGTAAGTAAGAGTACTTACACTCTGTAAGTAAGTAGGGAATACTTACTGAAGTAAGGAAGAGTGAGAGGAAGGGGGGGGGATTAGGTTCTCTGCACCGAGCCTACCTTGCAACATGAGGCCACTTGGAAATTGTTGGGGGTCAAAGTTGCTTATGTAAGCAAAGAGTCATTTGTATGAAATCCTGAGTTCTTTAGGGGAAAATTCTACAAAAATACATTATTAGCACTTTATGTAGGCAATACTCCTCTTTGTCGAGGAGACACAGTTGTTCTATTTATTTATTTGTGTGTGTATGTGTGTGTGTGTGTGTGTGTGTGTGAAAGAGAGAGAGAGAGCACTCGCAAGCAGTTGTTGTGGGGAGAGAGAGAATCTGAAGCTGAGCGTGCAGCCCAACATGGGGCTTGATCTTACAACCTGGAGAATCATGACTTGAGCCGAAATCAAGCGTCGTATGCCTAACCGACTGAGCCACCCAA